CTTATGTGTTTGGACAATGTTGAGATTAATAATTTGACATTAAAAGTTCGGATAACTTACACAGTATTACAAAAATTAGTGTAGAATAGTTGTCATATTTTATTCTTGTAAAATATTTTTCTGTCTGTGTATCCGGACTGAACTTAGAATTTCTACAAGTGATTTATTTTTAATGCGATGCCTCTTTTATTTCAGTAGACATCAATCATGGATCTGGAATCACTGAGAAAAGAACTGTCAGAGAATGGACAAGAACATCTATTGCAGTTCTGGGACACTTTAGATGAAGAGAAAAAACAGTCCCTATACTCTGACCTGAAAAATTTAGACTATGCCAAAAATAATATCTACTTTAAGCGCTGCATGGAATCCCTGAAGTTGGCCGGAGAGAAGTTAGATGACCACCTGCAGCCACCGCCACCAGAAGTGTGTGGAAGTTTTTTAGACACTGACAAAGAAACATTGAAAAAATATGAAGAAGATGGTAAGTTGCATAACTTTCTCATTTATGCCTTTTTAAAAAAATATTTTCCTCTCAGGTTGTTAACATCAAGAATAAACCCAGTATCCATACTTGTTTTTAAAGGTCATTGGCACAGGGTTGTGTGGACCTTCTCTTTCATGAGGTTGAGGTGAAAGATCTGACAATAAAAATCCCATTTTAGAAGTTGGAGTTGCATACTATAATTATATGTTCCCCATCAAGTTTTTAAATACACATTATGCATCTTTTGAGTGTGGATTTAGTTTATCAGGGTTTACGTATACTTTCCTCCTCTAGGAAATAGTTTGAAGTCTGGGAGAAAAATGCTTCCCTTTCTTTACCTTGAATGTATATATTATATACCAGGTATAGTACATTTATAGGTATAGAAAAATTTTCATTTATAAAAGTAAAGTTTTCATCCTGATAAATAATCTTGCTGCATTATTTTTGAAAATAGAAATGAAAAAAGCTGTCTTTATTGTCAGAGGCTAAAGTATAAAAAAATGCCTGTTAACTAAAAAATAAAATGAATAAGTAATTAAATGCCTGCATGCCTTCTAACTAATTAAAGTATATTAGAAATGTTTTACACACATTTAACTGCAGCATCTGAAGGTGGGATGATGATGATAATATTAATTAAAAGCTATCATTGTACTTTGACACTGCTCAGTGTGTCCAATTATCAAAGTACATAATTTAATTTGCATAAATGTCACCATATGTTTAATTAATATCAAAATTTTCATGGGATCTGTGTTATCTTATCCTTTCTTCTGGGAAGGAAACAGTTGAAGCTGACCATATTTATACAGTTTTACAATAGCTATATAATAAGAAGGTACTTATGGTTCTAATGATTGTCCCAGAACATTGTCATCTTTAGACTTTGAAATGCTCAGGTATGTACTTAGACATCATTAGAAGTAGATTAAGAGTAGATTAAAAGATAAAAACATAATGTCCTTGTGTAGCCCTTCCACTGGTGTGTGGAATTAATGAACAATATGCAACTGTTTTTGTGCCATAGAGCGACATCTCCTTTACATCAAATTATTCAAGACAAAGATGATGAAATAAGATTGATGGTGAAAATATGCATGTATGTATGTATGTGGAAGGGGGGGGGGGGGAGTAGGGGAGGTTTAGAATGTATATGCATGTGTTTATAGCAATTTCTTTTTTTTTCAAACATTTGAGGCAGTGAATTACCAGCTGTTGAAATCAGTGGTTGTTTAGGGTCATTTGCAGGAAATGACATATGCTGATGCAGCACATGTTACACACATAGTCCTCTCCATCTGCTGACCACTACCCTCCTCAGAGATTGACCAGAAGCTGAGGTCACAGTTAAATATATATATATATATATATATCCTGATTTCTGTGGCATTTGTTCATTATCTTCCATGTCTACTGGATTTTGAATGTAGATCAAAATGGCTGCAAGATTTGTTCAAGTTACACCAAAATCCAAGTGATACAATTTGTTTGTATTTTAAAGTTTCAACTCATGCTCCCCATAGATCCAGAGAAAAAAACTGTTTGGCATGATGTCTTATGATTTGAGTTTTTTTAAAGGCAATGAATTATGGGGCCTACTATATGTACAATCGAAAAACTGCCTCCTCTTTTATTTCCACGCCCTTGACCCATTCCACTGTCATATATGTAGTTGTTTGACGTAATGCATGTCTCATGCACCCAGGGCACTAGTGGTTCTACATGTTGGATAGTTTTTTTACAGCGGGACATAGCCTTTAATATATCTCCCTCACATAGGGGGGTTGACCTGACTGGCACATACTACAGGTCTAATGTCTGGCAAACTGTTGTCTCTTGTGCTGTTTGAGATTGTCGCCATGGGTACCTTGTGTTGACAAGGAAGGATACATTTCTTTTTCAACAGGTGTTAGGCGTGCTCACGGGTAGTGGGACAAAAAGTTGATCCATGAATCCCAGCACTAGGTGCCAAAGCCAGGTTAAAAGGACAGATAGGATATCAGATGGCAATTGCAAAGGACACAGGGGGACAACTGATATCATGATGGTGTATTACTAATTTAGGCCTCATTCAGAACAAGTTGATCCGTAGACTAACAGATCCATGCATCAATATGGCTAACCCACTTCAAAGCTTACTGCGCAATCCTTGCAGGGAATCTATTCAGTGTCTATTAAGGAATCATGCAGCAAGCTTTCAAGTGGGTTGGGAACATTTGATCTGCAGATGGATCATCGTGTTCTGAAGGGGCCCTTAGAGAGAGATTAAGGGACCGTTCACATGGAAAATCTATTTTCTAAAAACCTATTTTCGGTATCTTGTGATCAAGGTCTGTGCCCTGAATACCCCAGGCGTAATTACTGGCAGCGCTAGCCAGTTACTTCCAAAGCTGTAATTAATTTTCGGCGCTGCCAGTAATTACGCCACAGGGTATCCAGGGCACAGACCGTGATCACAAGATACCAAAAATAGATTTTTAGATTTTTAGAAAATAGATTTTCCACGTGAACGCAGCCTAATTGTTAGCAATGGTGGTTTTAAATTTTAGAAAAGAACCAAAGACCAAATGATGGTTTTAGATCTTAGACTCAAATATTGAACAACTTAAGTCCAGAAAAAAATGTGCTGTAGTCCACTAAAATAGAACAACAGTTGGTCTAAAACAGTATACATTGTTTTGCTGCAAATGATAAAATTGGACTGCCACTGATTCATCGAATTAGTTTAATTGATTTTGGTCAAAATTCTTTTTAGTTAAAATTATTTGTGTGAATTTAGTTTTAAACCTTTGTATTATTTTTCTTAATTTAAAACTTTCAGTAGTTCATCCAGATTGATTGAAATATTTCATTTTGTTGTTATTTAATAAAATTTACTAGTCAACTTTTTATCCATTTTTTTTCTTTGAAGCAATGGGGTGTAATGGTGCTTTGATGCAATGTTCCATTGACTTAATTGTCTGATACCAGCAAAATGTTCATTTATATTTGTTGTAATAAAGAAATGACAGGGCTGGTGCATTTTTAAGTGATTGAGGTTTTAGTATGATGCGGGCTAAATTGACATGACTAATGTATCTTAAACATGTGCAAATGCTTAACTCATGTTACATGCAGTCCTTTGGGCTTTGGACCATACTCCTAAAATACAGACTACAGTTGTGCAGTTAGAAATAAATAGAGTGGAACAGTTCTATATACTAATATTATGTAGCCTACAAGTATTTTTATTTCATTGAATCATGTGATTTGTGGGAGTTTTGTCATCCTGTCATGAGATTAAGATAATTATGATAGCACATGGTTTCCTGGTCCATTGAATCCAAAACTGAAAGTCATTAACTCCTATTGTTTTAAATACAAATAGAAATAGAAAGCAATTTTGTGGAAATTGTTAAATTTATAAAGAAATTTAACTGAGATTAGTTGGTCTCCTGAGCCTTGTCTTCATAATCTGATTGCAAGGGCAGATATTATAGGTACAGTGATTGTCATTAGTTCTATTCTGTTAAAGATATGCTTTTGGTAAACATCATAAATTTCCCTCCTCCTCCTCCCCCTTTTTGAAATCCTCTATCTCAAGTAATCTACTCTACTCTTAATAAATTGGAAGAATTATGCTATAAATGGATAGTAGTTTTGGGAGTTGGAATTACTCAAAAAATTTAGTTATCAGTGGTGTTCATCATTGTAGAATGATGATGTCATTAAGTATTCCGTAATTGTGTGCAAATTACATATAGCTCTGACAATGTATAGCACACATACTCCCAGACTGCACACACTGCCTCCTTTTCTAATTATCTGAATATCATTTTAATCATCAGACACACCATGATCACATTGTTGAAGACTAGACACAGAAGATGAAGATGGTACAGGAAGTATGAGACTGTAATGTCTTTGTTACATATACACTGATGTAAGGGAATCAGGCAAAACCCTCAATCTTGCCTGTCTTTAAAACAAAGAAGTCCTTCCATACAAGTCAACCAATATTACACAGACAGACTCATTTATGCTGTTTTGGGGTATATACAGTGTGGATGTATCTGCATGTTCTCAAAGACCAATATTGTTTGGCCTTAGACAATCTGATAAACTCAATGTACTCTTTGACTCAGAGATGCTATCTTTCTACTGGTAGACTTACTGACCAAATATATGTGTGTTATTCAGTGGATTGTATTTATATGTTAAAAAATGAATTACAGAAGCCTGATCTATACTACCATGAGGATGAAATTACAAGTGTCATGCAATTCCCATGCTATCCCTATTTACTTTATAGTGATCAGAGGTCTGGACTTTATTTCTAATTATTTTAGATTATTTATTTATTTTGGTAAGTTGAAAACTTGTGCATGGTCTTCAGGTGTTTTCAAACAAATATACACAATGTTCAATTAAGGCCAACAACACTTCTGGGTTTGCTAAGTTTGTTAAAAGAAAGGAATAAGGCTTACTCCATATATACAAGAAATAAAAATGAAATATGGTAATTGTTGGCATAAGAGTCGCTGTTCACCTTCATGCTAGCTTGCACAGCAGTAACTGTGTTAAGATGTTCAGACATTTGATACACACTGTACACTTGATTGTGTCACACCTTATTTAAGTACTGACAGAATGGTTTATGACTTTATTAAGTGCCATAAATATGTATATTAGATGGTAAATAGCACTCATCTGTGCAGGCCCACAGACAAGGGGAGTTTTGGGAGATTCTAATGAACCACACTTTTGGCTTGGAAAATGTATGCTCTGAGTAAACATTTTGTTGGTTTTATATGGCGAAAAGGCCTATTATTTTGCATGAATGAAACCTTCTTTACTGGGTACAGGTTTGTCAGGTTTTTTCTTTTTTGTGTTTACATTTTAGTACATATGCGCATGCAGACTTTACACAAGTTTGTATTTTTGTTTAACAAAAAAAAAAATGGAGTTTAAATTGCAGTTCCATGTGTAATCTGTGTGGGACAAACATTTTACTTCATTATTAATTTAGTATATTAAAGAAGGTCCAATTTTCTCCATACCTGAAGAATTGATTCACTATGGTACAAATTAAGAGACCATTCCCACAGATATTTAGATCGATCTATCCCCCTGGGGAGTCTCACTAGATTGCTGTCAGCTTAACCGGCTTAAATGTCTGTCCTGCCTACTAAAAGCTGTAAGGGGGTAATTAACTTTTGTGCGCGCTCCGCTCCTGGAAGCTGACAGCAATTTAGCATGAACTCCCAGGGAGTTAGGTCGATCCAGCTGGATCGATCTAAATCCGTGGGAACCCAGTCTTAGTTGCAGTATAAGTCACTAGCACTTGAACTAATATAAGCATAATCTTCATGTTGAGGTTATATGTTGTCTTCATGTTCGCTATATGCACTGTTCAAGACTAACATAAAGCTTTAAGAATCCCTTCAAAGCTACTTTATAAATGCTTGTTTAAAATCATGATGATAATAATAAGTATAAAAAAAATAAGATACAAGGCCATTGTTTGAGTTGTGTCCAATTGTGTGATCTCACTTCAAATGCATTTTACCTTGGATCTTTAGAACCTACTCGTACAGGTCAACTTGGATCAAAAGCTCACACGGCATACCTATCTGTCATGTGCTGACTGCTTAAAACATTGGGTTATCATTGGGAATGGGTATCAAGGCCACTTGTCAACTACTTAAACAAAGGCATCATTTCTTTTTTTCTTGATTCTGTATACTACTCTATTGGAGCTTTTACTTCTGTATGATGTGCTTTTACACTAACATGCTAAATGATACACAGTGAAACACATGAAACTGAATAGGTGTAAGATATCAGAGGTGTGAATTTGTCTGAGTATTTTTAATCTGTCAGAAAATGATATATTATACAAGACACTAGATACATGGAAAGAATGATGGTGGTGTTAGAACAGTCTCCCTCTTTACTTTTAGATGTGAATGTTTCTCAGTCTAAACACCTTTTTATAGGATCTATTACTTTTTAAAATTTTAGCTCTCTTCTGTTACCTTTCTCATGAACTCATACAATGAATTTGAGAAATGCGTTGTGGCAAGTGCAGCAAATACATATTTGTACTGAAGTTGGTACATGTACAGCATTAATTTGGTGAATTCAGTATTTGTGTACTCTGCCATTGATAATTGATGGTGTCAATAAAATTCCAGCAGCTTCATTCTCTTGGTGATATGTCATAACTGCCACATTTGAAAAAAAAATGCATATGCAATTTTTCTGCATGTAAAAACAAGGTTGACTGCCAGGCCTGGGAGAACACTGTACATAACCATGTTCGATCAAATTATTTTGCACATCATTCATGACCTGTATCAGCTTGCTGATCATAAATATTGATAACTGATTGATGATTGAGGTTTGAACCTTTATCGGTAGATAAGTTGACTTGTTTATAGACCAAGGGCTCTTTGTGAAATTAGGGTGTAGGAGGTAAATAGAGGTCAAGACCAGCCAGCTGTTGTATACTCCGTGAATTATCAGTCCAAATATAATAAAGAAGAAATCTCCCAGGGCTTGTTTACTCTCGTCTGCCCCACCTTTTCCTAGGATATTGCATTGTCGATCTTTTCTATTGCATTGTAATTAGTTTTGATGGAATTATAAATATTTGGCCCTTTCTATGTCCTAGAGATAAATACAGTGATAATTTCTAGTCATTTCCGATCATTTTTTGCATAATTGGATCATTCAGGGGTCAACGAGAGAAGTGGGGGTTATCAGCTGGGTATTACACTTCCGTGTCTAAAATATTGAATTTTTTCCACACTATAACCCATATTTTTAAGACTATGATTAATTAATCTAATTTGATATGATCAGTGAGTATGAGTAAACATATTACAATTCACAACAACTTGAATTTTTAGAATTATAGCAATACATTAATGAATCAAATGTTTCTATCTCCTCAGGTCTGAGACTGGTGTCAGACAATAAGATAGCAGTGCTCCTGCTGGCTGGGGGACAGGGGACCAGGCTGGGGGTGAACTACCCCAAGGGCATGTACAATGTGGGCCTACCCTCTGAGAAAACACTCTACCAACTCCAGGCTGAGAGGATACTGAAGTTACAACAGCTGGGGAAAGAAGTGACTGGGAAGGAAGGAATTGTACCTTGGTATGGAACAGTTTTTTTTTTCTGTTTGTATGTGCATAGTGGCAGTTGGGCCCAGCCATCACTTTGAGTTTTTTTTTTTTTTTTTTTTTTTTTGCCGGGAATTTAACTTCCTTTTTTTTTTTTACCACATTTAAATTTTTTTTTTACATTTAAACATGCAAAGCCAAAAAAAAAAAAAANGCAATGGGGTGTAATGGTGCTTAGATGCAATGTTCCATTGACTTAATTGTCTGATACCAGCAAAATGTTCATTTATATTTGTTGTAATAAAGAAATGACAGGGCTGGTGCATTTTTAAGTGATTGAGGTTTTAGTATGATGCGGGCTAAATTGACATGACTAATGTATCTTAAACATGTGCAAATGCTTAACTCATGTTACATGCAGTCCTTTGGGCTTTGAACCATACTCCTAAAATACAGACTACAGTTGTGCAGTTAGAAATAAATAGAGTGGAACAGTTCTATATACTAATATTATGTAGCCAACAAGTATTTTTATTTTATTGAATCATGTGATTTGTGGGAGTTTTGTCATCCTGTCATGAGATTAAGATAATTATGATAGCACATGGTTTCCTGGTCCATTGAATCCAAAACTGAAAGTCATTAACTCCTATTGTTTTAAATACAAATAGAAATAGAAAGCAATTTTGTGGAAATTGTTAAATTTATAAAGAAATTTAACTGAGATTAGTTGGTCTCCTGAGCCTTGTCTTCATAATCTGATTGCAAGGGCAGATATTATAGGTACAGTGATTGCCATTAGTTCTATTCTGTTAAAGATATGCTCTTGGTAAACATCATAAATTTCCCTCCTCCTAATCCCCCTTTTTGAAATTCTCTATCTAAGGTAATCTACTCTATTCTTAATAAATTGAAAGAATTATGCTATAAATGGATAGTAGTTCTTTGGGAATTGGAATTACTCTGAAAATGCATTTATCAGTGGTGTCCGTCATTGTAAAATGATGATGTCATTAAGTATTCAGTAATTGTGTGCAAATAACATGTAGTTCTGACAATGTATAGCACACATACTCCCAGACTGCACACACTGCCTCCTTTTCTAATTATCTGAACATCACTTGAATCATTGGATAAACCATGACCACATTGTTGAAGACTAGACACAGAAGATGAAGATGGTACAGGAAGTATGAGACTGTAATGTCTTTGTTACATATACACTGATGTAAGGGAATCAGGCAAAACCCTCAATCTTGACTGTCTTAAAAACAAAGAAGTCCTTCCACACAAGTCAACCAATATTACACAGACAGACTCATTTATGCTGTTTTGGGATATATACAGTGTGGATGTATCTGCATGTTCTCAAAGACCAATATTGTTTGGCCTTAGACAATCTGATTAACTCAATGTACTCTTTGACACAGAGATGCTATCTTTCTACTGGTAGACTTACTGACCAAATATGTGTGTTATTCAGTGGATTGTATTTATATGTTAAAAAATGAATTACAGAAGCCTGATCTAGACTACCATGAGGATGAAATTACAAGTGTCATGCAATTTCCATGCTATCCCTATTTACTTTATAGTGATCAGAGGTCTGGACTTAATTTCTAATTATTTTAGATTATTTATTTATTTTGGTAAGTTGAAAACTTGTGCAGGGTCTTCAGGTGTTTTCAAACAAATATACACAATGTGCAATTAAGGCCAACAACACTTCTGGGTTTGCTAAGTTTGTTAAAAGAAAGGAATAAGGCTTACTCCATATATACAAGAAATAAAAATGAAATATGGTAATTGTTGGCATAAGAGTCGCTGTTCACCTTCATGCTAGCTTGCACAGCAGTAACTGTGTTAAGATGTTCAGACATTTGATACACACTGTACACTTGATTGTGTCACACCTTATTTAAGTACTGACAGAATGGTTTATGACTTTATTAAGTGCCATAAATATGTATATTAGATGGTAAATAGCACTCATCCGTGCAGGCCCACAGACGAGGGGAGTTTTAGGAGATTCTAATGAACCACATTTTTGTCTTGGAAAATGTTTGCTCTGAGTAAACATTTTGTTTGATTACATGTCCAAAAGGCCTATTTTTTCGCTTGAATGAAACCCTCTTTGAAATTGCTGATTACAAGTCTGTCTTAAGTAGGCTAAATTATTTTTTCTTTCTGTTTACATTTTGTACATATACACATGCAGACTTTACATTTGTATTTGTGTTTAACAAAAAATATATATTTGGAGTTTCAATTGCGATTCCATGTAATCTGTGTGAAAGAAACATTTTACTTCATTACATGTATTAATTTAGTACACACAAAAAAAGGTTTAATTTCCTCCATACCTGAAGAATTGATTCACTATGGTACAATTTAAGTTGCAAAATAAGTCACTGGCACTTGAACTAAGCATAATCTTTATGTTGAGGTTACGATGTACCCTGGTATGACACTGTATTCACTGTTCAACACTAACTAACATACAGTTTTAAGAGTTCCTTCAAAGCTACTTCAGAAATGCTAGTTTAAATCATGACCATAATATTAAGTATAAAAAAAGATAAGATGCAAGGCCATTGTTTGAGTTGTGTCCAATTGTATGATCTCACTTCAAATGCATTTTACCTTGGATCTTTAGAACCTACTTATACAGGTCAACTTGGATCAAAAGCTCACACGGCATACCTGTCTGTCATGTCCTGACTGCCTAAAACATTGGGTTATCATTGGGAATGGGTATCAAGGCCACTTGTCAACTACTTAAACAAAGTCATCTGTTTTTTTATTCTTGATTCTGTATACTACTTTATTAGAGCCACTACCTCTATCAAACATGTTTTTTACACTAACATGCAAAATAATCCATGGTGAAACCCATGAAACTGAATGAAAGTAAGATATTAAAAGGACCAGGTGTGAATTTGACTGAATATTATATTTTTTGTCTGTCAGAAAATGATATATGTTACAAAGCACTAGATATATATGGAAAGAATGATAGTGGTGTCAGAACAGTCTCCCTCTTTACTTTGAGATGTAAATGGTTCTCAGTTTAAATAAATTTTTATAAGATCTATTACTTTTTGAAAATTTAACAATTTTCTGTTACCCTTCTCATAAACTCATGCAATGAATTTGAGAAGTGTGTTGTGGCAAGTGTGGCAAATACATCTTGTACTAAAGTTGGTACATGTACATTATTTATTTGGTGTACTCAGTATTCGTGTTCTCTGCCATTGATAATTGATGATGTCAATAACATTCCAGCGGCTTCATTCCCTTTGTGATATGTCATTACTGCTACATTTGAAAAAAAAAAATGCATACTAGTATGTAATTTTTTGTATGTAAAAACAAGGCTGACTTCCAGGCCTGAAAGAACACTGTACATAACCATGTTTGATCAAATTATTTTGCACATCATTCATGACCTGTATCAGCTTGCTGATCATAAATATTGATAACTGATTGATGATTGAGGTTTGAACCTTTATCGGTAGATAAGTTGACTTGTTTATAGACCAAGGGCTCTTCGTGAAATTGGGGTGTAGGAGGTAAATAGAGGTCAAGACCAGCCAGCTGTTGTATACTCCAGTTCAAGTATAATAAAGAAGAAGAAATCTCCCATGGCTTGTTTACTCTCGTCTGCCCACCTCTTCCTAGGATATTGCAATGTCGATCATTTCTATTGCATTGTAATGAGTTTTGATGGAATGATAAATATTTGGCTCTTTCTGTGTTCTAGAGATAAATGCAGTGATAATTTCTAGTCATTTCCGATCATTTTCTGCATAATTGGATCATTCAGGGGTCAATGAGAGAAGTGGGGGTTATCAGCTGGGTATTACACATGTCCATGTCTAAAATATTGAATTTTTTCCACACTATAACCCATATTTTAAAGGCTATGATTAATTAATCTAATTTGAACAGCTCAATGAGTATGAGTAGACATATTACAATTCACATTTTATGTAACTTGAATTTTTAAAATTATGATCATATATTAATGATTCAAATGTTCCTATCTCCTCAGGTCTGAGACTGGTTTCAGACAATAAGATAGCAGTGCTCCTGCTGGCTGGCGGACAGGGGACCAGGCTGGGGGTGAACTACCCCAAAGGCATGTACAATGTGGGCCTTCCCTCTGGGAAAACACTCTACCAACTCCAGGCTGAGAGGATACTGAAGTTACAACAGCTGGGGAAGGAGTTGACTGGAAAAGAAGGAATTGTACCTTGGTATGGAACTATTTTTTTTTTCTGTTTGTATGTGCATATTGGCAGTTGGGCTCAGCCATCACTTTGAGTTTTTTTTTTTTTTTTTTTTTTTTTTTTTTTTTTTTGTGCACGAGAATTAACTGCCTTTTTTTCTTGACCACATATAAACTTTTTTTCACATTCAAACATGCAAAGCCCCAAAAAATGGTTTATTGTGACCTCCCTTCCCATAGCACAGATGTACTGGGGTACTTCACTACATTTTATGACTTACATCTTACAGGTGTTTGTTGCTTTATCAGGTGTATAGCGAAGTTGTCACATTCTACATGTTTTGTGATATTTTCCTTGTGCAAACATGACTTTGTGCCTTGAAAAAATAATGCACACAAATATCCTTAAACTATGCAAAGATAAAGCACAAGAAAAAGTTAACAGACACTGCAGGAAATACATACCACAGTATATTAGTACATTACATTTCATGCCCACACTGTTTATAAAGCTACTTGTATATATGTATGTAACTAATGATTCGATTGCTATTTCAGTTATATCATAATATTTCTACATTACCTTACAGTTATACAAGTATTAAAATGTGTTTTCTCTTCAGGTACATCATGACAAGTGAGAGCACAAAGGAACCAACAAAAGCCTTCTTTGAAAAGCACAACTACTTTGGGCTGAAGGAAGAGAATGTTGTGTTCTTTGAGCAGTACACGCTACCCTGTATGTCTTTTGATGGCAAAGTTATCCTGGAAAAGCCGCACAAGGTGGCCAGAGCTCCTGGTAAATTGATGGCATTCTTTTATATGTCCTCCATGTTGTGCAATTCAAGATACCGTAAAAGAGATCATTGTAAATAAAAAATACATTAATATAATTTTAATAAATTGTTGATTGATAAGTTATATATGCCAACCCGAATAAAATTTTACAATTCTATCTAATGGACAAGCTAGGTTATCAAAATAGCATACGGAATTCTAAAATTCCCAGGATTGTAAAAGATAATACGAGACATTTATAAAAACAGACCTCCATTAAAACTATGAGACATCTATAAAAATATGATGATCTTACCCATGATGATTGTTTATCCCCCCATTTTTTATGTTTCAGATGGCAATGGAGGTTTGTACAAGGCTCTTGGCAGCAGAGGAGTGATGGATGACTTAGTGAAGAGAGGAATCAAATATGTCCATGTCTACTGTGTAGACAACATCCTTGTCAAGATGGCTGACCCCATATTTATTGGTTTCTGTATCAGCAAAGGTGCTATCTGTGGTGCCAAGGTAGGTCTGTAAGCAGTGGTAGTATGCATACTGGGTACATTATTATGTTATCAGTTGTGATATATGGTAATGACTCCATCTTTTCAATGGGGAAAATTTATCAGAGATGCCATTATTTTAAAATGACTAAAAGTATATTTCTGTGTAGCATACGTGGTGCTTTTAGTGAATGGAAAAGAACTATGGGGGACCCTGTTTTCCAATTTTGTTGCTACCACTCAATAAGAATGTTTTAATTTTAAGAATTTATGACTGAAAAAATATGGTTTCTGAAATATTCATAATTTTCCCTACGGAAAAGATGAAGACATTGCTGTATATGTGAAAATTGCCATAAATGTTTGCATTAAATGGCTTTAAATCATCCTAACCATGTTCACATTTAAATTTGATCTTTAAAATGTGCTTGAGGATGTTTTGATGTATTTCATACCTTGGCCTGCTAAAAAAGTTAAACCAGATGACTTCAAAGACTAAATGTCTGCTTTTATCATTTATATTCCCAATAAACTATTGTAGAATCACAAAATAAGTAACTCAAATAATCATTTATGTTGGCCAAACCTTTTGGATTCAACTTTGTCTTAACATCAACTCAAACTTTATGAACAATGCCTATAACAGCTCAAATCTTTACATAATTGAAGCACATCTTATCTCAAAGTGCCCCAGTATGAGTCTTCTGTAACCAGTCATCTGTATTCAATATAATACCCAGAAAGTGAAACATGCTTAAGATATATACACACACACACACACACACATACACACACACACACAATTAAAATTAACAAATAAATAAATAAACAAACAGGGGTTATTGCATGTCTCTTGTTTATTTATTTATTTATTTATTTATTTATTTATTTATTTATTTATTTATTTTAATTGTGTACAAATGCTCTGGACTGTTGAGCACTCTGTTCCACACTCACGCTTGTTTTATATATATATAACTAGAAGTTTGAAGAAACAATACAACCATCACTAGCAATAGCCATTTATGTATTTTAATTGTCTTATGTATGCCATTTTGTATTTCAAATATGTTATAAAACTAATAGTAGAGTAGAGAGCCTGTAAAATATAACCTGTACACATTTAAGTACTCAGTAAAGAATTATTATTATATTTCCCCCCCTTTATATTGTAGGTTGTAAAGAAGGCGTTTCCTAAGGAGGCTGTAGGGGTGGTGTGTAAGGTGGATGGGCAGTACCAGGTGGTGGAGTACAGTGAGATCACACCCAGCACAGCCGAGAAAAAGAACCCCAATGGAACCCTCATGTTCAATGCTGGCAACATCTGTAATCATTTCTTCACGGTGGATTTCTTACAATATGTGGTCAAGTAGGTGACATATTTTGTGATATGTTGGTGGTGATTGGTGGTGATTTTTTTACCTTGTCCTAAAAAAACAGCCAATCATGTTTCCACTGTGAATGTTTATTCTAAATCAGGAAAGTGTTTCAAAGCTAACTTTGCTATGGCAGACATCAAATACAAGGTTGTCAGTTTGAAGCTGAAGCCACTCTGTTTTATTTTTCTGCTTTTTGTGTCTTACATTATGATTATAAATTCCTATTTTAAATCATATACATATGTGGTTATTTATAGAACTGGGTCAGTAATAAAAGAAAAGGTTTACTATTATAATAAAAGATATAATTGATATACCATATTTATTCATGGTAACAGATCTAGATGATGTTTATTTTCTCAGAGACCACCAGGATGAACTGGAGCATCATGTGGCAAAGAAAAAAATCCCTACAATTGATGTCTCTGGGAATCCTGTGAAACCCACTGAGCCCAATGGAATCAAGATGGAGAAGTTTGTCTTCGATGTCTTCAAGTTTGCCTCGTAAGTAATTATGGATGTTTGGTCACCCTGTATAAACATACTAAGCATACTAAGGTGAGGTAGAATAACTGTATTACAACCAACTCAAAAATTGGGAAATTCTATTAGGAGTAATATTAAATAACAGTGACCCTTGTTTGTATTTTTGAAATTTTGGAGAGGGCTAACTTGGCTTATATGACATTATATCTTGGATAATATAAACATAATAGGTATGGTGTCTGTATCTCATGCTTGCTAATGAACATGGTTTTAAATCATTAAAAGTCTGTTTATGCTGTAAGGCCTGGAGCTTTTCTCATTATTCATTTTACTTGAATATACGGGTTGCTATGGGTCAAAGAGACTAAGTAAGTTTTGTAAGCTTATAGGTGATGGCAGTAAGGATACTTTTAATCAGTATGCTAAATAATGGTATTCTTGGTATTGAAGGGGTTGGTAAATATAGACTTGGGAATATTGTCTGTGGATTGACAATGTTCAATTCAGCTAACTAATAGGATTTTCTTTTCTTTTTTTTCTCTCTCTTCACCCACTTGTTTGTGATGTCTGTGTGTGGTATGTGATGGTGTGCTTAACACTGTACTTTTTCTCTGGTGCATTTTGGTATTTCATATTTTCTACATGTTGGGTCTCTCCTTGGTGTTTGTTTCCTATAAACTATAAACACTAACTGCATGCGTTTATTAATTTTGTGTTATTGCATGGTTTTATGTTTTATGATTTTATGTTTTTTACTTCATCCAAAAATTGTTCATTTTCTTACTGAATCTGCGCAAATACTTCACATCTGCAATTCTTAATTGGTTCAATCTACTTTTCTTTGCATATTTGATTCTTTATGCCTGATTTTCAATGACCTGTGTACTTTTTCACATTTGTTTGCATTTCCTTTTTTTGTTTTGCAATTTTGAATTCCCTTTCATGATAACATGATGATAACAAAAATTTTGTTTTCTTTGAATAAAACATTCTTCACACTCTTATCCCTCTGATTAATACCTGCTGTTTGGAATGTTTGCCTGCGTGTTTTGTCCCTTGTTTTGCTTTGTCTAAATGTGACAGCAACTTTGCTGTGTGGGAGGTGCCAAGAGAAGATGACTTCTCCCCACTGAAGAATGCTGATGGACAGCCCAAAGACACACCCACCACCTGTCGGGAACACCTGTACAACCTGCACACCAGAAATATCCAGGCAGCCGGAGGAAAGTTCTGCAAGAAAGATGGCACTCTCATCTCCAACATTCCAAGGTATAATTATAGGAGTTAATTAGTGATGAGTGAATCGATTGAATTTATTATGTTTAATGAAAAGATTTACACTTGAATTGCTAGATTTTGAAATCACAATATTTATTTAATATTTTATTTTACATATTAATTTATTTTATATATTTTAAAGGTTTTAGTATACATGACTAATCTAGGCTTTTATAATTTTCAATGTATTATATACTAATAAATAAACATCATATGGAATTAATTGGTCAGTATATTGTACACAAAGTAAATGCATTACAGTTAACCATTTTGTTAGATTGCTGTAAAATTAAGAAAAAATTTATGTGGGATATGTGTCAATTTATTTGTGTTCATGTCAACAGTCCTGCAATTCTCTATTCCAGCATCACAAATGGCACTAATGGCGTCCAGAATGAGTAAGTATTGCACACAATAGTTAAATGTTTAGAGATTTTTATGAAATTTCTTTTCCTTGAGTATACAGTATTATATTTGTTTAGTGACAATGTGACAGGATCTTTTTTCTCTTGGTTAGAAGTATGTGAAATTTCAATTTTTATGTCATGTAAAAACAAATTCTCCTTTTTCTTTTGCCCTCTTGCCAGTGGGAATACATGTTGTGTACTGTTTGTTTTCAGTGGTAGTGGAGATCATGACAATGAAGCTATGGTTGTTGAGGTTTCTCCACTGGTCTCATATGCAGGAGAGGTATGTATTTTTAGTGACTCTGCATGAAAGTTAAGAAAATTAAAAGATTAACAAAAGGTATTCTTCTGATTCTGAAGTATATAGGTTTTTTTTTTTTTTTTTTTTTTTTTTTTTTTTTTTTTTTTTTTTTTTTTTTTTTACATTTCAAAATGCTATTCAATTAAAGAAAAATAATGCTATCAATGAAATGAATGTGGGTGTACATGTAATTTCAAAGCGTAAACCATAAAGCAACCTAAGGAAACATGAGTAAACGGTCCTAAGATAAAAGACCTTTTCAACCAGGTCTTTTAATTTACCCACATCATTTCCAGGGTCTCGAGAAGTTGGTTGCCGGGAAGAGTTTTGTACCCCCACTAAGCATCTATGCACCTGGAGAAAAGGACCAGGAAATTGTGTGTGCGCTCATCAAGTAACGTCATAATATGGACATGTAGAAGGACTTCCATTTTTCCAGCGGCCAGTTAGATGTGAGGAATCTGCAGTGTATGCTGTACATGTGTTAAGGAAACCAGCTGTTATTTGTTAGTAGTGTCAATGAAAATGGTTCATATGTTTATCGATCAGTGTGAAAATACAGGTACCCTCATGATAGATGAGTGCTGACATCGAATTAAGAGGTGTTGAACAATTGGAAATATTATTATTATTTCTAAGAGTATTTTTCTTCAGGACTGAAAACTCTCAGGCAGTTTATTGTACTCCGAGACTGGAACCGATTGTAACTGCTGAATTATTTAAGCCTTTGGTGTGTAATCAAGAAGTTAATTTTGGGTACTTATGCTTGATAAACAATTGGATTATTTTCAGAAAGGAAGAACGGATGCACCTTGTACATAAAAGACTTTGTGTAAATAGAAAAATGTCTATGACTGTTGTGTGGAATTGTTGTGAAGTTTGTGTGCATTCTGTACTCTAGATCTGTTTTGTTGATTAATGTTAGTTTAAGTTCAATCACTTGTTATTTAATCAAAATGTTATGCATGAAAAACTGAAATTAATGGAAGTATCCGTACTAAAATGAAGAAGAAGAGAAGAATGTAAGGCCTTAATAACTTACACTTGTAACATGATTGTACATGTTGTACTTGACCTATATGTATTGTAGTGGAGATTTTTGAGTTTGTTACATCCAAAATGAGGTTGGTGTGTAATTGAGAATTTTTTTTTTTTTTGCAGACAAATTTATTACATATTCAACAGGGTGTATTTTAAGCTTGCACAACAACCATGGATGTCTCAGTATTAGCAAGCATAAAAATCTAACAAGCAGTACAACGAGTGTTTATTTCAATCTAATCATTTATGGACTTGTATCATATTAACATACATGATACATACTATGATTGTGTAGAGCATCTACACGTAGAATGATATAAACATAACTTCCAAATGAGTGATTTTCGGACGCTGTTTTTTTTTAAATATATATTGAATCAGGTATATGTTACATTATGTCCTGTTGCATGTGCTCCTCATTGATGCTGTTGTGTTTAGTAGAATTGTTTACAGATTCATATTGGACATAATATTATCCAGACAAAGCCATTCAGCAATGTCTTTAATTATGCATTCATCATTTGAGTTAAGTTTTTTTTTAGTTAAGACACCAACAGAATAAGACAAAACCAGGCTGTGATCTTACTTGTTATTTATATTTCATTAAATAATTATTGTGCATATACGGACAACATATCGTACTTGATTGACTATACGTATGTATATTATGAATAATTTTATTTCCTGTAGGAATTCTGTTTAGATTTTAGATAACTATTCATGTGTACAACAAAGTATTTTTTGCTGCAGGGTTAGGTAGATGGGATAGCTAAGATACTAGTATAAGAAATAATTGCTTCTTATTAAATAATTAGTTACAATTTTTTCATGATTGTGGAAAAGGAAATCTGCTATGGCATCACAGCTTTTTTGCTACAGCACTTCGTTTGTTGTAAATATTATTTTTAAACCATTCCCTTAGAGAGAACTGTGCAACTTTGAGGCAAATGCTGTATTCTATATTTATGCAACAATGTACTATATAGTAATTCTAATTAATGTTTATATTTTTGGTAATGGAATACTTAGGTTTTGAAACAGAGACTTGATGCATGAAAGAGTATTTATCCAGAAACTACACTAATTGGACCATCGCACACATTATTATGTGCTTAGAGAAAGAAGTCAATTCAGCTCCTAAATAAATATATTTGTAGGACATATAAAAGAAATTGGGTAGCAGAGCTACTTTTAATTAATAGAATATGCTTGCTTTTAAATATATTATTTAAAGAAAAATATCAGTAATGTTTTTTTGGTGCCATAATGCTGCACATACTATTTACTAGAAGAGTACTAAATATTTAACAGAGACATTAGAACTGATTTGATAATATGAATATTACCTTATTACTTGAAAATTTAAGTTAATGAATGAATAACACTATTATCATGTCCATTATAGGATTATTGTAGTAATGATATTAGGTAATGGAAGAGCTATTTGGTCGCAAACAGTAAGAGTTTAATGACATGATGGTATGTTTTATTCAGTGTCCACAACCTTTTTTGTCATGCTAAGGTACTGGAGACTTGAAAGCAAATAAGCTTATCAGCTAGATGTTAAAAGAAGAGTTTTGTATCCTGAAACTTTATTTTACATTCGATTTATACCTTAGAAAATATTAAGATGGACTCTTTTTGTTCATTTATTATGGAAATCCTTCTAACCATACATTGAATTGGGGAAAACGCTTTTGGACAAGCCAGAAAAAACAGGTTTTGTTATTCTAAATATATGTGAAACAAATAATTTTCCTTATAAAAAGTGTGTTAAAATTTAAATGATACGTATACATCCCTTACTTTGATTTAATATAGTTTAATTTATGGTCAATTGTTTCCCATCATATACTCGTATGTACATTTGTGCCATGCCAAAATATTGCTTGTTATTTATTTAGTGGCTTGTTTGATTTCTTGTTGAATAAACTACCTTCTTTTTAGGGATGTGGTATTTTACCTAGTCTTTGTTGTCTTTAATGTAATTAGTTTTATGTTCTGGTTAAGCTGAAGGTGTGACTTATAAAATAAATACTGTAGCCTTTCAGAAATTATAAGCACAGGGCTGCAGATCCAGTTTGAAGTAGCACCTAGAAAATATTAATGTGTGAAAAAATTGAAATTTTTACCAAAAATTCATAAACATTCTAATCTAATTGGACCAATTTTACAAAGTCCTATGAATCATTCTTGTTGGATTTTTAAAGAAAAAATAAAGAGCACATTAATTTGAATACAAAAGTCAAAAGTTTGGACTATGAAATGTTGGGTCAAGTTCTTTAATTGCATGAATAAAATACATTTTTGTAAAATTGCCTAAATCATCTTGGTCAAATGTTAACGTGGGGCTTTGCTCAACAAATAAAAACATGAGGAATATAAAGTATTTGAATTTTTTAGCAAAATGGGCAGATTTTATATACCTATCGGCATTTCTAACCTAATGTCTCCAGTATGTCTAAAAACCACAATACCCAGGTTTTTTTATCAGACATGTTTATTTTCTGAATATTATTCATATACAACAGTATCCAAGCAGACTGGGAACCTGAAAAACAAGCACTTTCTTTGTAAAACATCATCATTGATGACAAACTGTTAAATACAATAATTTGTCTAGATATGTTATATTCCCAAGTCTTTCATTGGGCTACGAAGGTGTTTATGGTACTAAGCTCATAACGTTCAAAATCTATGGAAAATTATTGGTTAATTTTCATGTAGTATGCTAGTTGATGGTTTGAGCTCAAATACGAGCTTGGCACCAAATATCTTTCACATTAACTGTCACTTTCAATTTGTAAAAATTGTTGGCCTAAGAGAGATGCAGAACCTAAAATTGGTCCAATATGTAAGTCCAAAATAATTGAAAATATTCCATTAATATTTGGAAAATCATTGAAATATGCCAGCTCAAAGTGGATACCATTACAAAAGATGCTATATCTTACTTGATAACAATGAATACAGACACTGTTGATGATAAAATGCACTTTGACAAATGTGTCTGTACATAAAAAATGCCTTCAGATCTTAAATCCTTACCATTAACTTAAATATTTATCCACTGGCTGGTACATTTCATTTTTACAATAATTATTATAAGCTGAAATTAGTTCAAATGCTGTATTCAATCAGAAACGGTCATCACAATAACAACAAAGAGAAAAGGAATGAGAGAATATTTAGGTACAGAACAGCCAGCCTGAGAATGAAACTAAAATTCAAATGACTGCCAAGCATTTTTGGTATGTGGAGAAGGTTTAAATCAGCCTGTCTGCTCACAAATTAAAAATGTCAAAAAATCCCAAGTTTAATAGCATCTTTTAAGACAGTTTTCAAAATGTGAACTGGGAAAAACATTAAAATCACAAATATTGACCTTCAAGGTTAAGCTTACTTCAAGCCTGATTTTAACAACAATATCACATAATCTTATATATGGCATACAGTTGGTATAAATATTGGTTTCCAGAACTCAGATGTGACTGGTTTTTAAAATCAAACCTGCCATGAAGTCGATGTGACAAGTAGTCCATGAGCCAGACACTTTTTTGGTACCAAAAAAGGGCCAAATTCTCATAGTGATTTTTAGTAAGGCCTATGTCTCTAGTGTCCAAATATGTGTGATAGCCTTCTCATAGTGGTAGCTTTTTGTGTGCTATCACACCTTATATAACCCCACCCCTGCAGCAGCAAGGACTTTTTCCAGATGGGGGTAGGGAAGAGAAATTGCTTACTATATCTATATGGTAACAAGTATATCAATAAATTGTATATCCTTATGGAGGCAAGGGATGGGACAATTTATTTCAAAAGTCATGAATGCATGACAATTAGTCAAGGGTCATTGATAATGGGTCAAAGGTCACAGGAGGTCATTTTTTGGGATTTTTCATAAATTAAAGCCAAAAAGTTTTTTTTTTAATCATTGTTTAAGTAAGAATATGGTATTTGGTGAATGATTTGTAAAGATGGTATAGTCTTATGCTTGTGAGCAAAGTTTGGAGCCTTAGCTGTCTTATTTTAGAAAATTATGTAAAAGAATGTGAATCTAACGGCCAAAATATGCCATCTTTGAAAGTGGGGGTAGGGGAAAGAAAATCTTTGCTACATCAATAATGGTCAAAGATATATCAATACATTATATATCCTTATGGAGGTAAGGGATGGGAGAATTAATTACATAAATCATTTATGCATGGCAGTTAGTCAAGGGTCATTGATAATGGGTCAAAGGTCACAAGAGGTCATATTTTATGAATTTTTTATAAATTAAAACCAAAATCTTTTTTTTAAATATTGTTTGAGAAAGAAATTGGTATTTGGTGAATGATTTGTAAACATGGTATAGTTAAAAACTGATGAAAAAAATTTGAAACCTCAACTGTTATATTCAAAAATATTATGTAACTAGTTAAATGTGAACCTTACGGTCATAATATACCCTCTTTTCATGTTGGGGTAGGGGACAGAAAATGCTCGCTACATCAATATGGTGAAAGATATAACAATGCATTAAATATCCTTATGGAGGAAAGGGATGGGACAATTAATTTCTAAAATCATTTATGCATGGCAATAATTCAAGGGTCATAGATAATGGGTCAAAGGTCACAAGAGGTCAAATTTTATGGATTTTTCATAAATCAAAGCCAAATTCTTAAAAAATATTGTTTGAAAAAGAAATTGGTATTTGGTGAATGATTTATTAACATGGCATAGCATCATACTTGTGTAAAAAATTTGGAGCCTCAACAGTTTAATTTTAGAAAATTATGTAACTAGTTGAGTGTAGCCTAACAGTCAAAATTTGCAAACTTTGAAAGTGGGGGTAGGGGAGAGAAAGTGCTCATCATTTAAAGGCAGTAGAAAATACGGCAACAAAATGCACATATTTATGCAGCTTTGGGAAAGGACATTTCATTTTTTGATTAAGACATGTAAACAAAGTCATGCTTCATTAGAAATAGGTCAAAAGTGTCAGTTGAGGCCAAACCTCAGCAACAATTAAAGCTTTTTCATAAATTTGAACTTAAACACCATTAAAAGAGAACATTTTCGATTATAGAAATACTTTTGGGGTATAACTAGATGTTTTGTGACTATTAAAGACTAGTTCATCGAGTATGAGGCCCCTTCTTTAATTTTTTTTTTTTTTTTTTGCATATTATATAACTTCAATTCAAAATGGAAGTGAAAACTTTCTATTATAAGGAGTCAGGAAGTGAAATTTTACTGTCATTCAATTTGGAAGAAGTAAGATACAAAGCAATTGTATCATAGCCTGTATCCAAAAGATATAACTTCATTAAGTTTACTTTTTTAAAGAGGGCATATTACCATGCATTAATGGGTCAGTGGTTGGTCAATGGTCACTCACACTCACTTCACAGCATAAAAATCTAAGCAATATCTGAAAATTTTAACATTTAGATGAAAACTTTTGGATGATTTAATGGTGATACATACTTGTTTTTCACAAAGCATATTTAGGAGAATAACTAATTTTTTTAAATTAAAGCATATAAAATTTTGAAATTTGTATGACTATATATAACAACCTTTAGTGTATATTCACAATTATGCTGTTCAACATCAGACAGTATCTGAGGTCCAGCAGTTAAAAGTGCCTGTCAATTCAGTGTACACAATGGATAGTTTTCCATCTAAGCAAAATGTAAAAATTGAAAGAACAGTTATTTCTAAAATAGTAATGCATGTTATGTAAGTCACTGTGTAATTGAAAACATCGATTTGAAATAAGTAAAAAGTATAAAATTTTATCAGAAACTTAAACTGCTACAAGCAGTTTGGTTTCCACATTCTTTTTTTCCAACTAATAAATGAACTTTAATTGGCAGATTTAGACGTCAAAACTTCTGTTACAGTATACACAGTAAGAAAGTGAATGTATTTCAAATCGGTTTGGAAAAGATTATTATATTAATAATTATTACCAGTATACTCGTACCCAAGTACTGACTGGGCTGGCTCATGGATAAATCATTTTATCTAACTGATGGATAACTTTTAATTACTACATGTAATAGCTAAATTAGAATGTTCAACCAAATAATTGATAAATTTGGCAAAACACATTTAAACAATCAACATGATAATGTTACATGTGCCATGAAGCCTACTTCAATCTTCAGACTTTAGTCTATTTTTCTCTCGTTTTATAAAAAACAGAGGCAGATTTAACTTGGTGTGTGTGTGTTGGGGGTGGACAGGCTTGTTCTCAGGTCCTTGGTCCACTTGATCAGCCTATGGTGTACATGGATGAATTCATATCATGGAGCAGGGTCCATGCTTACTTAGTTCCTCTGCCATCCCATAAATCCTGTAAATGTGTGTTCGTGAACATGTGTGTAGTATTTACAACCCCCCTCCTCAAAAGATCAATGATAATTAATAAAATTATGACAATAAACATGCTTCTGTTTGACCTTAAATGCCACCTAGCCATCAATATGTAGCCATTCTGAAGAAATTTTGAGTATAATCCTGCACGAAAACGAAGTAGGTACTCCAGCGCCGTAGACTACTGCAATCATACTGCAAACGTGCTTCAAATCTGCTTCGATGTGGGAGCTAATTAGCATATTTGAAACATGCTTCTATCTTGCTGCTAATCTACTGCATTAATGCTCCTTCTCTGTACAACCCTATGTAATTTTTTAAGTAGAATTGCAGTAGGCTATACTTCATTTCTACTGCAAATATGCTCCACACCACGACTGCGTTAATGCTTCTTTGCTACTTCGATACTACTGCATTTTCCTGCGGGATGTGTATGTCCCATGTTAATAAAATTTTGACAATTTGGTTTAAGTTTAGAAATTTTAGCAGAATATGAGATAGCCTATTGTGGACTTCACTGCGTTTTCTCTCAGGACTATCATACATTCAGAACACAAACTACCCATCCTGAATCTGCAGATCTTGAATATAAATATATAGAAAGAAGAATATCTGCGAAATGTTCAGTTTCATGAAAGGACTATGCAATATTTTGATACAAGCCTTTCAATGTATAAATTTCAACTAAATGGTACTTAAATTCCCTTGTTGTGTTATTGGTGGCATGTTTACAGGCATGAGATGATTCAATCTTTAAGGTTTAAGAGAGAATGAGGCTGAATGCATTTTTATATCTGCTATTCATACTGGATACCAGTCTGAATTTGTTTCCCTTTATCTCCTCCTGAGATCAGAATGAAGCAGGCTTAAATTTTTGTCTTTTCCAATGAACTATCTCATTATGATACAAAACTTTTAAAATCTTTTAGAAATATAATCAAAAGACAAAGGTATGTTTCTGAATGCTAGTATTAAAAACAATACCTATTTCCCTTGATTATTGAATCAAAATGAACAGTATATGTAGGCTTTTTAATTTTTTAGGAAAAGTAACCAAATGTGAATAAAATATATGAAAATGAGTATATACAGTCTCAAATTTAAAACATTAGTCATAAGTAATTATATAATATAAGTTATCCCTAAATATAATACATTTAAACCAAAAAATAATCTTTAAATGGTGTTAAGGTTTATATTTATAAGAAAGCTTAAAATTTGTCCTGGACTAACCTTTCAACCTTTTTCTAATGAGGCATGACTTTCTATGCAGGTGTCTTAATCAATAAATCAAGGTCCAAAGCTGCATAAATATGTGCATTTTGTTGCTGTATATTCTACTATCTTCAAACGATGAACAGTTTCTCTCCCCTACCCCCACTTTCAAAGAGGGCATATTTTGACCATAAGGTTCCATGTAACAAGTTACATAATTATCTAAAATATAACAGATGAGGCTCCTAATTCTTTTCATAAGTATGATGCTATACCATTTTTATAAGTCATCCACCAAATACCAATTTTTGTCTCAAACAATATTTTTTACTATGATTTTGGTTTTAATTTATGAAGAATCCATTAAATTTGACCACTTGTGACCTTTGACCCATTATCAATGACCCTTGACTTATTGTCACGCATAAATGATTTATGAAATTAATTGTCCCATCCCTTTCCTCCACAAGGATATATAATGCATTGATATATCTTTCACCATATTGATGTAGCAAGAATTTTCTGTCCCCTACCCCAACTTGCAAAGAGGGCATATTATGACAGTAAGGTTCACATTTAACTAGTTACATAATATTTTTTAAATAAAACAGTTGAGGCTTCAAATTTTTTTCATGAGTGTTTTACTATACCATGTTTACAAATCATTCACCAAATACCAATTTCTTTCTCAAACAATATTTTTAAAAAGATTTTGGTTTTAATTTATAAAAAATCCATAAAATATGACCACTTGTGACCTTTGACCCATTATCAATGACCCTTGACTAACTGTCATGCATAATTGATTGATGAAATTAATTGACCCATCCCTTACCTCCATAAGGATATATAATGTATTGATATATCTTTGACCATTATTGATGTAGCAAGGATTTTCTTTCCCCTACCCCCACTTTCAAAGATAGCATATTTTGGCCGTTAGGTTCACATTCTTTTACATAATTTTCTAAAATAAGAGAGCTGAGGCTCCAAACTTTGCTCACAAGCATAAGACTATACCATCTTTACAAATCATTCACCAAATACCATATTCTTACTTAAACAATGATTTAAAAAAAACTTTTTGGCTTTAATTTATGAAAAATCCCAAAAAATGACCTCCTGTGACCTTTGACCCATTATCAATGACCCTTGACTAATTGTCATGCATTCATGACTTTTGAAATAAATTGTCCCATCCCTTGCCTCCATAAGGATATACAATTTATTGATATACCTGTTACCATATAGATATAGTAAGCAATTTCTCTTCCCTACCCCCATCTGGAAAAAGTCCTTGCTGCTGCAGGGGTGGGGTTATATAAGGTGTGATAGCACACAAAAAGCTACCACTATGAGAAGGCTATCACACATATTTGGACACTAGAGACATAGGCCTTACTAAAAATCACTATGAGAATTTGGCCCTTTTTTGGTACCAATGGCTGAAAATCAGGCGTCTGGCTCATGGACTAAAGTTACTTCCCAAATCTTCAGGCTACCAAGAGTTTATAAACCAGTGTCAGCTGTTTTAACAACCCCACATCCTAGTCCACTTTTATAACAAATGGGCTGTATCAGGTTACTCAGTGCAAGATCAAATATATTTGAAGGCATGCAGCTTTTTCATATGAAATTTGTTGAATTAACAATAGCTATATAGTTTTTATAGCCAGAGTAAGAAGATTCTACATACAGAAATTATGATATCTAAACCAACAGGCCATCCTTTCTTTTGCCACTAATACTGTCATAATTGTTTTCCCATTCAATATAATGCTTTCTCTGTATGACCTTCCTGATATGCACTGCCAGGTTTCTGTGGCCAGTCCAATGCTGAGGTGTATCTAGGGTATGGTACTGTGGCCTGGGCACCACTTGAATGAAGCACCACTAAGAGGGGTTTTTAGCAAAAAGAAATTTTTATGTAGCATTATTTGTTGACTACAAAACAAAACAAAAAAAAAGAAATGAATAGTATTTTGGTTTGATTTTATTGTAAAATTATCTAAAGAATAAGAAAAAAGTTTAGACGGGGGTGCAATTTTGGTGCTTGCCATAGATGCTGTTATCCACAGATACCCTCTGGTCACTGTCAGATGACTTGGTGGGCAATGTCTGATCACTGACCCTTGAACCTGATTAAGAATGAGCAAATGGATCTTGTGTATTCAAGTTACTATGTAGAATCCATCTCATCTTGTATTTTTGTATCTACTGGCTTTTCTTGATCACTATTTTCGTCTGAGTCCAGGTCCTAAAATAAAACAAACTCTAGATAATAATATTAAATTAACAGGTCCCACTGGCAACAAAAAACCAATGGTTCATTAGCATAATTTGATTTAATTAACCAACATGATCTTCTTATGCACCAGATAATAAAAACTAAGTTACGAAGTACACAACTGACATAAAAATGATGCCAATGAAAGCAGCTGAGGACCAGCTTTACTGAGGACCAGCTTCAATTAAAGTTCCCATGAAAGCCAGGAGGGGCCTCAGAAAAACCTCACCTCTTCTGCCTCCTCCTGCACTGCTGCCTGTATACTGGCTGCCAATGACCGTAACATTTCACTCTGTGAGTTACTAGAATTAGTCCTTTCATGGTTTACTACACTATAACCTGGTCCTATTCTTTTAAATAAAGAGTCTCCTTGTGCATCTGTTTCCCCCTCCTCTCCCCCTGAAGCACCCTCCCCAGTGTCCATACTCTCTGATTCCTCTTCTATAGAGTCTGGGTGGGCAAACATTGGGGAGAGGCCCTGGAAACTTGATGCTTTATTTTTCGTGCCAGCATGATGGTGATGGTGGTGGTGAGTTGCTGGCAACAAATCTGTTGGCATTCGTATATTTTCTTTATTTGAACGTAAAGAGTGTCCCTGTCCAGAGAAGGCCACATGTTGGCTGGGAAACTGCATAGGTTTGTTCACCACCACACCAGCCCCTCCAGAGGCCAGTGTGGCTGCGTGGGTACTGGTGCTGGCGGGGATGGGATGGCGGACAGCTTGCGGGATGCCACCACGTAATATCTTGTCCTCTAAGCCTGGCTCCACAGGAAAGTGTCCATGAGGCTCCAAACAAAGTTCCAAGCGGCCGTCTTGAGCATTATATCTGAATACCTATAAGATAAATAAAAAAGCCTTTACTTCACAAAGAATGAATCTACACATTTGTACTTAAATGTGGTCATAAAAAAACAGCCTGTTGCATTATTCATAAAAGCTATGACATGACAACTGTCTCATATCTAACTTGTGGTTGATACAAAATCCACTACTGGAAAAAGGAAACAAAAAGTCACCTTAATTTACAATCTACCTTATCTTCACTAGGTCATTATACACACATCACTGCACAAAACCATCAATATAACAGCTTACCTTTCCTGGTAACACAGGCAGAGTACAATGCTTGCCCTCCACCAGGCCCAGATCTCTCTCCACTTGCTGATAAAACAATCCCCCCACTGAGAAGAGGTGTGGCAGTCCCTGGACATATGTCCACAGGTCCTTACCGGTCAGTGTGGCCATCAGGGTCAGAGAAGCTATGGACATGTCCAAGCTGTCCCCAGCTGTATAAGAAGTGAAAAATTGATTTTCACATGAAGCAGATATTTTTCTATTGTAATCATATTATTAGAAAGAATAACACTACAACTTTAAACTGCTATCAAAATCAGATAATTTTAAATATATAAAGGACAAGGAAAGGGCACAAGCTGAAGATTGTGCTGCAGATGACACACAGCACAACTAACACAATTACATTGCTGGCCAACATGCAAAGAGACCATTACAACATACTCCATTCCATCAAGTTGTAACTGGAACACCAGCTGCAATAAGATCATTGTTAATGACAAAAGTACCAAAGTTAATCAACCTGAAAACCACTAATGGAACAGATTTAGCAACCAAATTATTGGAATATTACTCCATCAATCTCAACTCATAGCCAATTGCGTTTTTAGCTTTTCAAGTAGAACATCTACCACAATTACAAACATGTAAAGAAGAGGAAAAAAAAAAGAGAATCAATAACAAGTGACAGGAATTATGTTGATACGTTCACTACATACATGTCAATAAAATAAGGTAATGCCAACAGAAAAACTATCCAAGTGTATTCATCACTGAGTAAACAAATTGATGAAAGACTGTTCACTAACTTCCTTGAAGCTGGTTCAGCCCCCTCAAAAGGTCCTCAGCAGAATGGTCATGTGCATTGGGATCAAACCCTGCCCACGCCTGTTTTGGTACAGTAGGTTGCTGCCAGACCTTGATCTCATCTCCTTTATCTGGAATGCACCATTGTCAGCCGATCAGGAAACCAAATATTGCATATTGATTTATATATGGATTAAATGTTTGGAAAGTAAGGGTCTATAATATTGCTAAGCATCCAACCTAGAAGAGCTGGCAAAGGGTTATTTCTACTTGCAGAAATCATTGCTGGCAGTGTGAGCCACTGCCATTAATCACGACAGAAGAAAAAATAAAAAACAAACTAGTCAACACTTGGCAGAGGTTATTTTCACTTGTTATGTGCACTGCTATCATTAATCAAAACTTGACTGAAAAAATAGTCCATAGACCATTAACTGCAATAAAAAATATATGAATACGCTTCAAAGGATAAGCCCATGGTCCTAAATAACAATCTACCTTGCTTTAAGCACATACAACCAATATGCACACCTTTCTCGTTATCGTCTTTCAAAATCTCCACAGTGACTCTGTCCCCATGCTGGAGAGGGAGAGGCTCCTCCTCTTTGCCATCTTCAGGTGGGTGCAGCTCCCTGGGTGGGAAACCATAGCGGATCCTCTGTGAGGTGGGTGGAATGTGGAGTTCAGTGGATATCTTCTCCTGCAGTGCTGCATATGTAATACTGCCTGGTAAACTGAGCATCATCTTATGGGGGGAAAAAAACAAAATGATTTCTAATTTCTTTCATCGTAACATTTGGAAATTACCAAGTCATTTGATGTGAGACTGTGGCCATAAACAATGTGTATTAATTTTCAAACTTTTTTAGATCTATTTATCACTTACTTCTAGCCACTTTTGTTCAGTGTAATTATTCTTAGGTTTCAGCATTAGTAGGTAATTGCTGTTACTGTAAGCTATTAACACATGCAGGGGATTAACCCATTATTTCCATAATCTAGGAGAAAACATCTCATAAATCACCCCTGCTTTCAAAATTTTCCCTTATTGATCATTTTCAAGCCTCTGCCCTGGTATAAACTATCATCTGGCAATCAACTTGCCAGAATGGGTTGTAACAAGTTGACTCCAGCCAACCTGACTTGTAGTGCACTTTAGTATTTGTTACTGCGAAAACCTGCCTAGTAGTCTTATTAAATGCACATGTTTGAGGATGCATCAAATTCTCTACTAAATGTTTCTCAGAGAGAATGCCTTATATAAATGTGCCTAATGCCCTTTTTTCTGAGTGTACCTGTGGAAGCCTACCTAATACCTTTTTAAGTATTACCTGTGGAGTCTTACCTAACACCCTTTTTTAAGTGTTACCTGGGGAAGCCTACCTAATACCCTTTTATTAAATGTGGAAACCTACCTAATACCCATTTTTAGTATTGCCTGTGAAAGCCTAATACCCTTTTTAAGCGTACCTGTGGAGACCTACCTAGTACCCTTTTTTTTTAAAGTGTACTTGTGGCCGCCAACCTAATACCATCTTTTAAGAGTGCCTGTGGAAGTCTCCTTAACACCCTTTTTAAGTGTACCTGTGGAATGTTGCCTAATACCCTTACCTGCCTCCCATCTGATGTCGTAAGCCTGATCTTCTTTTCCACTCTTTGAGCTTCAGACTGGGCTCCTCCACCACCTGGGGGTGATGCGGATGGTGCTCCAGAATCATGACCATGACTTAGTGTCTGGAAGAATAAATAACATCTTCATTTAATAATCCATATATAAAATCTGAAACACTTGTCAGTAAGGGAAAAAAACTGGAAAAATATCTTAAATCCAAATGTCTGGTTTTCAAACATTTTATTTACTGGGCAATTTCTTTAAATATCTGGCACCAATGTGAGGGTGTCAGTAAAAGTGACTTAACGGGCAATGAAAAAAATCAATGTCTTTATTAAAACCAACTGTAAACAAACTCATTGAAACAATTTCCCTTTAATTCCCTCCTTATCAATTTGTGCATGCTATAAAATCATCCATCAAGAAGGCTTATCTACTTTGTCAAAAAAACTATGTTTTCCCAGCATTTGCAGGTTTTCATGAAAGCTTTTCCACTTAAAAAAAAAAAAAAAAAAAAAAAAAAACTCAACATGCAAAGTCTCACCATGATACATGGGAACACTGTAGTTATCATGGTTGTTAAATTGAGTGATACAGTTTGATTGAAATGATATAATGATTGTAATATGTCTATTTTTAACTACAATCATCAAATATACAAGTGTTTCACTGCTGGATATGGGATAACACAAGATCCCCACCCAACCCTTTCTCAGTTATTTCTGAAAAATATGTCATAATTTGGACATTTTTGCAGTGCTTACATATAGGTCCCTTACAAGAGTTCCCTGTAACACCATTTTACCAGAAAAAACTTTCTCCATACATTTTCCATCTGTTGGGAAATGGATTCACTATAGGAAGGATAATTTTACTGATGGGATAGATCATATCCCAATAAAATGTCAATAAGAGTAAATTCGAATGAGAGAAGCTTGGGATTTCACAAATGGGTATTTAAATAGTAACCAATATTCATTACAACTATTTTTTTCTTTTTCAGTAGGAGAGTTCTTTTTTACAGACCTCTCTTTTGTTTCACTGAAAAAAAAAAAACCAAGCTCAACATCAAAGCAGTTTTCTGAAATTTATAACAAAGTAAAAGACCTCTGACCAAAGTAAAGTCCCAGGGGTAATGGATCATCCTCAATCCCATCAATCTCTATGCCCTAAAAGACAAAACAGACATGCCACTGGCCAACTGAAGAATCATGCAATTCCCATATTTAGTTATCCCCATAAGTACAAGTGCCAGTTATTTCCATACAATCCCTATGTGCCCACATTACATTCTACAAAAAAAAAAACAAAAACATTTATTAATCTAGTTCAGGGGAAATACTGATTCCAGTACTTAGGTAAATAACTGGAGGATTCCTCAGAGAATAGTGTCTTCTAATGAGTATTCATTTCTCCACTACAATATGTCAGGCAAGCACACTATTTCTAGAGTAAAAGAGCATTAACACAGAACCTATGGCAGAGACTCACAGGGATGGCACAGAGAACACTATTAGGAATGTAAATCACCTGGTTGAAAAAAAGTCGTAAAATCTAAAGAAAGCATACTGCCAGAGATAAATGTACATACTATCAAAATTGCTTGATTTATGTCTCTGAATTTATTTCTACTGAAGTTAGTATTGTCTATCTAAAGCAATAAACACACACACACACACACACACACACACACACACACTAGTTCAAAGATCATTATTATTTTGATCACAAGCAAAAACTCTGTCAAACGTACTTGTTAAGACCATAGTAATGGTCAATTACAATATGAAGGCCATTGTCCTGGTCGGCCATAATCTAACATGCATAACATTTTATAGTGCTTGTCTTGTGAACATATAATGATCTTTAGCTGAGACTAAAACCAAGCTGATATAACTTTTTTTAACACAAGGTCACTTTTAACAAACTCATACGGGTAATAAATGCTGCTGACGTACACAAAGCTCCCCAATTATCAATGGTCACAATGTCAGGCCTTAGAGGTAGGTGCCTTAGAGTGCATTCCCACAGATTTAGATCGATCCATCTAGATCGACCTAACTCCCTGGGGGTTCATGCTTAATTGCTGTCAGCTAAGCGCGCATGGTAGTTAATTACCCCCTTACAGCTTTTAGTAGGTGGGACAGACATTTAAGCCGGCTAAGCTGACAGTAATCTAGTGAGACTCCCCACAGGGATAGATCGATCTAAAATCTGTGGGAATGGGGTCTTAGGCATGCCATAAGAGTACAAGACACTAGACTTCCACTTCACTCTAAGATTCAATTCTTTTGAATTCAATTTTACACAAAGGACCTAGCTACAGCATATGCTATAAAAGTATGTTTAACAAATATATTCTTCTTTTTTTTTTATCACGAATACCACTGATAATTAAATACATGATATAAAACTGAAAATAAGAAAAAAAAAAGCATATAACTTAGGATTAAAAAATGTGACTACATCTATAATTAATTACTCACCTTCTTTGGGCTATCTCCTTTGTGTTTTTCAGACTCGGCCTTTCTTGCCAGCTCTGTGCTTCTCCTCTTCTGCTGCACAGGGGCATTCTCCACCACTCGCTGTCGCACCTGTTTCTCCTTCTCGCTCATATTCAGCTCCTCCTTGTGTAAAGTCTTATGCTGCAACAAGACAGAAAAGGGGGACATGAGACTATGCCCAAGCTTCTCAAGGAGTTCCTCTGCACTTCTAATAGCTTCTTCCATGCTGTATTGCAGTGTCATTAAATAATCCCAGCAGTGTGCTGCATCTATTCTGCGACTTGGCTCCAATCCTCAGAGGAATTATACAAGATTATTTTCCTAGATAAAAGCAACTGCCACAACAATAGCTGTTCTGTTCTCCATTCTAAGAATTCAAATGATCCACATCCTGCAATGAAGACCGAATCCACCTCTCTGACACATAAAAGCATCAAATCAATTGCGCTTGGTCATTACAATAATACAGTTAGCCAGCATGCACCATGTTAAAAATATTGATATTTGATGTGAAGAGTAAGCTTATTGCTGTTAAGTCTCTTTAACAGAAGAACTATGATTGTATCATGTTACTGTCTCAAGCTATTTTCCAGGCACGTTTACTATCATCCAAGCAGAAACAACTTTGTCAGAGCTAACCCGTGGAAGCTTCTTCATCAGGAGAGATAATGGCCTACTTGATTACATTAATGTCTTCCTTGTCTTTGGTCTATAAAGTTTTCTATTCTCTGTAGAGCAACTAGATTTCCCTATTCTGCCTATTAGCCACTGGTTCCTTTAATTAATCAGATGTAATCTTTTCTGGTTTTCTACCCTAGATCCTGAGTAGAATATTCTGAGAGAGAGAGCTTACAAGTCCCCCACATCTAGAAATTCCATATTTCTCTCAAGTGATACATTACAACACTGGTGTGGCTATGACAGGGTATTTTTGGCAAACCCAGCTGAGCTGGGGAGTGTCAATAAAAAACATTGATATTTATGGATCAGCCTGCTCTTGGCATAGGAATAATTTACAAACAATAAGTCTGAACTTAAATAATGCCCAGAAAACATGACTCTTAGGAGTCTTGCACCACTGACAAATGCATCCACTTTACATAATTTATTTTCATGTTTGGTTATAATCCACTGAAGCGAGCCCTACCTGAGTAATTTTCTTCAGTGCACATTCCCACTCCCAGGGCATCAATAACAAGTTTTTGGCCCACTTAAATGAGAAAATCAACACTCATATTGACCAATAATTCAGGAAGGGCTATTCATAATTCATGTGCAGAGGCCAGCCTAATCCCAGTCTATCCCCAATCATGTACAGATCAAACCTTGTATTGATCACCCACTCAGTATGGCATCCAACAAGTTTTTGAATAATCATCATTCTACAATATGGAAGCACTCCAGTTCAATATCAATCGCTTTAGATTTTGAGCAGAAAAAGAAAAGCCTTTTAATTTCCATGAAATAGATGAAGTATAATCATACAAAATAATTACTGTCTTCTACATAAATCTGGTGGGAAATAAACAAGGAAAAATGTGAAGCTCAAATAAAGTTGCCAGTACTGCAGAAGCATACAATACATTGCTGGCTTGGTGCCAATATAGTTACACTTTGTTTTCTATATCAGAATACTTACTGTGACCAAATATACCACTACAGCAGTCATGAATTACAATCAGAACAAATAATAACTAAGGACATATCTGTGAAAAAATTAGATAATTGCAAAAATAAAAGCAACATACCGCCCCTTAAATCATGTGTGAATTTAAAGTTAGCTGTTAGAATAGTGCACTGTATTTGTTCTGGTCACTGAACTTTAGGTTACAGGGCACTCAGCTGTAAGGAAAAGTTAAAAATATATCTTTATGAAATATCCATCTTCTACAGTTACACACACATTGTGTCTTATCCTCTATCACACCCCAGGTCATATTATTATCCCATCTTTCACTGTTCACAGCTTGTCACACAATTCAAAGACATGAATGTTACTTATTCCTAGTCACGTCATCAGTGGAGTTATCTTAATGATGGAAACATTAGTGTCTGTAAGATTGATTGCTTTCTTCTTCCTTTTTTTTTTTTTTTTTTTTTTTTGTCCTTACTGTCAGTAACACAATATTCCAGTTTACTATGAATTGTTCAAACAGCATGACGGGCATCTTTAAGATTTCACTTTTCTCAGATTGTTTAAGGCTGACAGAATTTTAAAAATAAAAAATCATAAATCTAGCATTACCATTAATTTATTCCCCATTGTAAGACCAAAATGTTCTCTAGAATGTGTGGTAAACTGAAATGGATTTATCTTTGTGTGCAATTTCAACACACCTGATTAGACAAATCAGACAAACACTTCAAGGAAAAACAACATCCTGAAGGACAAGATGACAATTTCCTTATCAACCACTTTTTTCTGACTTGAAGCATGTAAGTTTGATTAATGATAATTCAGAATCTGTTTTTAGCAACCTGTAACTTTTATTCAACCTACTCAAATATATTAATACGCATCTTCTGCAACTGATATAGACAACTGCAATGGCAGCAGTCCTGTGCTCCTTCCCAAACAGTATCAAACACTCTGCTGGAATAATTGCAACTTGTCATCTTTTAGAAACCATTTCTGTGCAGCAACATAACAATGCCATTACCAAGATATGAATTAACCCACTGTTCCCCAGTCCACACTGGGCATTCAACCCAAACTGTATCATTTCACATTCCCCTTTCAATGAACAAAGTAAATTTTTTTAACGTTTAGAGTTGCTTTATTGGCACACAGTTGCATATTTAAAAAAAAAAACACTTCTTTTGAAAATCCTGTCAACACACAGTGTGTGTGTGTGTGTGTGTGTGTGTGTGTATGTGTGTGAGAGAGAGAATGTGTGTATGTTTTAACATCAATAAAATAACTATACTGCACATAAAGCAATGTAGTCTGAGGCAAGTTCTGAACCAAACAAACTCAAACCAAGTCAATTTTTGGTACACGAAAAAGTTCCCATGACATCATTTCAATGGACATAAAAATATGCAAGCATATCTCAACTCAGGTGATGAAGTGCATGAATATTCAGATCCACACATTTATCAAGTTAACCATCATATAAAGATTTTTTTCTCCAGATGACCTTCATGGCCTTGACATTTAGGCCAAGGTGAATCTTCTCCCACTTATCTCCCCCCCCCCCCCCTCCCCAAAAGGGCTTGCTTTTACCCCCTTCATAATCTGGTTGTCAGGTAATATCATTTAGACTGTTTCCTGTTTGAGAAGGTGCTGAAAAAGATATCCAGATGACACTGCAAAACATTAAAGCACTGCTGCAGTTTAAAAAAAATGCCACCAGCTAAAAGACAAAACACAGCACGTACCTGCTATCAGCAGTTTTCACCTACATATGTCACAAGCCCCACGCCCAGTACAAACATCCTGCCCTGTATACAGCTAGCCAAGCAACATGCGAACATGAACTTTCAATCATTACATAAAGCTGGTAAAGCTATATGTACAAGATTTTATGGCTAAAATTCAACACTTGGATACAACGAACAGCCTATTAAGAAGTCAGGAAGAATTAGAATCATAATCTGTCTCTTGTTTTTTTTTTTACTTGCAGGCAACAGCTGTTAGTTAAATACTGCACACATTTCTGTATACAAGTTTTCACCCTGCACTGGCCTATTCAATGACCTACTCATATCAATAAAACTCCAATCGATTTAACATCCAGATATATTTTCCTCTTTACAGACGTTCACCCCCTTTATTTCAACTCTCTCTATCAAGTAAGTGCCTTATAACAGAAAGCATTATAAACACAAACATAACAAATGCACGATTAATCATACTCCAATACTGAAGGATTCTTATTGTGCCTCATAAATGTCTTATAGTGTGGTCAATTGCCAATGCATCATAATTCTTTTTTAACTTATCAGATTTGCAGAACTGTATATCTTCCTTGTTTTTTCAACTTGAAACGATGTTCATGAATTTCTTTGCTTTGCAATCAATAGACCAAAAATCATCCCCAGTAAGTAGCAAATACACACCTTTAGTATATTCCTCTCCACTTCACCTCCACGTCCTTCAAATACGTTTTGAATCTTCAATAAACAACTGGGACTTGTGTTTATTTCACGTCCAAAGAAACACCTCTAGTGCAAATACAATAACTCCGAATCAAATAGGTCAGTAAATTGTTTATGGTTTTAAGGTCAAAGTAAAAGAACACCTTGTGTATGCACTAGGGCTTAAAGCTTTTACTTTTTCAAAGCCAAATATGTGTGTGTAATTATCATGATGCTCAGGGGGAAAAGGGAGACTCTTTTAGAAAGGAATCCTTTTATATTCAATCCTTTAGCAAATTAAAAAAAGTCGAGGTAAATCTTTCACACAATTTGCCATGTGCACAATTAGCCACAGGCATTATATTTTGCTCATGAATAACATGGATAATATTCATATCATAGGTGTTTGAATCGCTTATATCCCCGGCATATTGCTTCATTAAACCAGATCTGATTACTAGGAAAATACCCTACTTTTTCGAAAGCTAAATATCTTCCTCTTTCCCTCTCACATCAGTGTACTTAAATAAGTTTATCAGCACTATTTCCTATACCATATTCCACAGGTCCAATATTAGACGCACTAAACCTTTCTGTGAGATGTTGCAAGTTAAGGAAATATTTCATATACTAGCATGAGATCTACAATCAAGTTGTTTTTTGACTGGTGAGGACACATGAAGGAGGTAATCAGGGGTATACAGAAAAGTCTGTCTGTTATACTAAATCCCTGTATATTGTACAGTTTACATGTATTACTGTTTATTAAACTTTGTGTTGAGACTTTAAATTTCATATTTATAATTGATAAAACTGCTGCTGCAATAAACTTTCTATGCCAATATGCTGTCTTTGCCACTGTTAACAGTGTGCATCTGCCCTCTCCATTGTGCAGTGCAATGTTGACCCCTAGTGCAACATCATTAACTAGAGGTGGTACTAAAAATAGACAATATACCCATGGTCCTTGTTTGCCTAACCACTACAAAAATATATATATTGACTAATCACAGAAAACATATTTACTTAAGGTGTCTACGTCACATAAAGAATTATGTCTAATTACAATGAGCTTCAATTACTTTCAGAGTTTATCACCTGTCAGTAAAAGAATTACTAAGAAAGTTCAGCCTCCCTCTCTGTCAATCCATGTTAGCTTCCATCCTGCCAGTTAAAATCACTAGAACATATCAGCTCAATTAAAAACCATTGAGTAAACAGATGATCAATCAAAATTTTTCTGCCAAATGTTTCAATAAATATCCACTTAATTTTTCCGAAAAAATACCACTCTGACATTTACCGAGTGCCTTCCTACAAGGCAGCACACCCTACCTTACCTAAAGTTACCACGCTAACGACCTATAACAACACCCTTTAAGTCCTCTCCTGTCAAACTGAGTTACTGAGAGGCTTTATGAAGCCGGGCTTAACATGCGTAGCCATGTTCCAGTATAGAATACAAAAAGGGCACATAACCTTCTGCATGTGGACTGTATGTTTTCAAATGACATGTGAAAACCATCATGATAGATGGACTCCCACTTTTTTTTTTTGTTTGGTAACAAAACACAAAGATAAGAAAATTATTTACCATTATGCCACAAAAAGCTTAGTCTATGAATTGGGTAAAATAAATTCATTTCTTGGCAACTATAACGTTCTTCATTGATATCTAATTCTCTGTCCCTATCCACGTTTATGAAGTGGAACTTGTTTACAACACTCAAATATAAAGATGCTCTGGAGCGTGACCAGAAATGACACAGAGAAGGTTACACCTCAACCCTCCTCCATTTTGCCCTTTATTATATCAGCCTTGGTAGTCTAACAGTCCAAGAAGTTGATCTTACCTTCTTGAATAGACTAATAAACAAGCTAGACTTTACATACAACACCTACTAGTCTATTAGTCTAATAAACAAGTTTGTTTTTACATTCAAGGACTTACTGGTCTTATGTGTTGATAAACAACTTGTTTGTACACAATAACTGATTAGTCTAATGTGCTTAATAAACAAGCTTGTTTTTATAACTCTTTTGCAGAGTTGGGAGCACTTGTATAGAAGAAAAAATCAATATGCTATGAACTTTTTTATTTTCAAAAATACAATGTACTAGTACATGTGTATAAATTTCCATATGAAGTCCAAGACTTTAAAATTGCACTGGACATACCAGCAATGTAAATTTAAAAAATTCAATTTTCAAAATGTCACAGGGCTTAAAGTGTAAACTTGCTTTGAACATCTTAGTCTTAATAAGGGTTTAATAAGGGTTTACAGCTAGCCACATTTTTAGAGGAGGGGCTCTTGGTCCGGAACTTTTAAGAAAAATGACCACACAATCTACCACATGATCTTAGAAATGACCCCCATCATCACAATTATAGTCAAAATTGTCACAGGGGTGCTTCATATGGTGGAATACCTACCACACATGCTTTTAACCTTTCTGTATCTTACCTTCTGTCCTGTGAGGACAATCTTAGTTGGTATTGTATTCTGCCTCCACGATGCGTCAGTCTCCATGTGTTCTGTAGTACTGGTGTCCCCTGTAGTAGAGCTGGACTCCGCTGCCATAGTATTATTCTCTTTGGTCAAGTACAGGATCTGGTTCACCACTTTCTGAACCAACCGCTCGCTGCCAAACTCACCTGTAAAGAGAGATAAAGGTCATGCCCTCTGCTTGTTTTGAGATAAGAACATTCATTGGTTAAATCCGTGTGGACCTGGGCTCCTGATTTACAGCATGAATGGCCATGGCCACTTCAAATGTTGCATGGAAGATTGATCGTGAATGTGTGTGTGTTTACTGTCATTAATGTCACAAGTGAACATACCTTACCAAAACTAAGCTTGAAGGTAGGGATTATTTACACCTTGATTTATGCACACCTGTATATTGTTCAGGTAATGACTTAATACCTATAGGCCGAGCACTTCTACTGGACAACAACAACACTTTAGTTCAAAATCGAGAGATATTTTAAAAGCAACACATATCGTTTTTGTCCTGTTGATATTTCTAAAAACAAATTGTTGACATCAGGATTAAATCAATCCAAATGTTACATTCCACATTTCCTACTGGTAAAACTCATCCGTGAAGTGAAGATATGCACCATTTTCAATTTTGGACACACCATGTAAACAGTGAGAGGCAAACGAATCAAATATTTATATAAAAAGTTAGTAAAGGACCCAATGCGTGGTGGAATTACACAGATACATGTGTACTTGTTTACAGCTGTAGTTAATGAATATCTTGCAGGTAAGCAAATACCCAGAAATTCCCTTGCCTTGAATGGAAAACGCCTGTCTGGGCACATTCAGATTGTTTTAAAATCTAGAACCACTTAGTCCCACTTCCTCAGTTACCAGAGTTCAGGCTACTCAAAGCAGGACACTTACTGTCACTGTGGCGGAATTTCAATTTCCTGAATATCTTATTTTTCAACTTTTCATGGGGATGAAAACTCAGCTTTGCTGGCTAATTTTAGACACACATGATACATATCCCACCAAGCATCAAATACTCATTCTTATGAACAATGAAATATTTCCCACCAATGTGTGACATTCATAAGTATCCAAGCTACAGGAGTATTTGACCATAACAGAAGATAGTACTATTCTGAGCTGCATTTGAGCTATCTTCATATAACTGAACAACATAAAAGCTTCTGGCTTAAACAACTGATCTATAAAATAGACTATTAGGCTATTATCATTTAAGCACAAAAGTTTCTGAATTTTGCAGATAAAGAAGTTAACCATTAGCTGTCGTAATGTGAGGAAGACCTGGCGTTTTATAGATGTGGCATGCATGTGACAAAATCATGGTAATGATTGAAGTAAACTGTTCTTTTTGTTTTGGATTTACAACTTCTGTTTGAAAAGTTATCTGGTGTACAAGTTAAACAGTTTCTTTTGCTCTGTAAAGTACAGTATATAATAAGCTTAATGCATTAATGCAAAGTCTGGAACTCTTGTGACACTTATTATATATAATAAATATAGATCTGTTGTATTCAAAACTACATTCTCATGTAAATTTGCCAGGGTCACAGGTGGAGGTAACACATGGGAGATCAGAAATTCATCCAACAGATCCAAGCGCCACACCTTTCTAAATGATTATATGACAACTGCTTAATCATCTTTGCAATAAGAGAAAGTAATTAAGACCTGTTTAATAAGATTCATGAAGCCTAGAATCAAGCTCTATTTTTAATGGTTAAATGTTCATCTATGAGGAGAACAAGTTAGGCAATAATTCATATAATTTTCAAATATGTGCAAATAGCTTTGCCCAGGCAATCACTGTTTGCACATCTTAAAAGCAATCTATTTTCATCCACTCGGCAATAGCTTCAAACAAAAAATTATTCTTCGACCAAAAAAGGGTAAAACAGTTCCATATAACTCACATTAAAAACCAGAACACACAAATCAGATATTCTTTGTTCATTTCTAAACCCATTGCACTGTTGACCTTTATCCTCTCTCCTACGGTAAACAGCTTTGTCAGTGAAACAATAATCACAGAAATCAGACAAAATATCATTTCAGCAAAAAATAGAGCCCTGTGTTCAGTTTTCCATCATGAGGTTTCTCATATTGATTTGTCACAAGAACTTTGAAGTTCATTCTTGACTGTAATCAAGTCACCAGTAGAAACACAATTATACCTTATTTTTGTTAAGCTAATACTATGTGATCCATAAAAGGGGTATCAATAGGATAAATAATTTAAAGTTTATACAGGCTTTTTTTGTTATTTCATCCAGGCCTATCACCAAATAGTAGCTAAAAAGAGGAATCAATTGCAAAGTGTTCCAAATATAGAGTGAATTGTTAGAGTATCATAAAAAATCTATACCCTCTACCTGAAGATCCAGTAGATAATCCAAATTTGCCTCTGAGTAGGAATAAAATATCAACAAATATTAACAGGTTACCATAATCTATCTGGTATTTCTTTTCCAAAATAATATCTTCAGCACCAATTTACTGTTCTTACTATTTTTCTTACAAGTCAGTTTGCTTACCAAAAATGAACTATTATACCGACAATACAGAGTATCAAGCTCCACTGATAATACAATACAAAAACAGATCATTTTTGCATGTATTATTTAAATTCTAAACATAATAACATTTACAAGAACTGATTTCTTTCCTTCCATTGATTTGATAAAAGTCAATTTTTGTCAAAGTGCAATCATTATAATTATAATGGCTGGCAACATATAATGTAATTTAATCAACAATGATTTTCCTTCAAACAAAAACACTGAAAACCACCCACTTCTTTACTGTGAAAAGCCTCTACACATAGCATAGGTGTATCAAATGTATCAAATCAACATTTTAGTGGTGTATTTGCTACAATAGAAGTTTGCATGTCAACATTAATATTTCAAGATAACAAGATGTGGAAGTAAAAAATAAAATAATTCACATATATCTGCACATACACGATACTGGGTAACAACAATGAGTTCAACTTCAAAAGTCTGTCAAAATATTCCTATATGTTGGATTATAATGGGGATGCTTTCATGTGAAGGGGATGGTTTTGTCTTATTTTAACAAACAATTTTGTGTTTCCAAACATAGCTGCATATTTTAAACTTCTCAATTTTTAGACGAAAATGATAATAAAACACTGCTTAAATCTGGGACACAGATATACCAGTCTGTTTTGCAATGGTACATCATAGAAAAGAAAGCTGTCAGAATAGTATTGTCATATAATTTGTATTTTGGTCTTCTCAGGGATCATTTACGGCACACACACACACTAGAAAAAAAATTGCTCTTCGTTGCAAATTTTGATGGGTGAAGAAAACGTGTTGTTGTGTGTTACCATCGTTTCACACGTTTTCACACATGTGAACTATACAAAAATCGTTCAATTTCGGGATATAAATACCTGAAATACACTCTGCTTTTCATAAAACAACAGTGTATAAGTAAATCCTGCCATCTAAGCTTGTAATCACTGATGTTATGACCCAATCCTGTTTCTTTTCCTTCAGACACGCCCGACAGCGAAACCACAGATAGCGTGTAGTTTTGTTTCCACATTCAGATTCGGCCCAGGGACTTAGCATAAAAAGTGGAAATTTCCATTGATGACATAATGACCCAGTCACAAGAATATTAAATGAGACTAATTAAATTAGCTATATGTGATTCCCACTTTTTGGTGTGTAATGCATGAAAAACTATCTCATGCCATCATGCTTTCCCAACTCTGTGAATTTAAGTGCACTCTTTCCTGATAATTTTTATATGTGTTTAACGTTACATTTTCCAAACATTATGAATATAAAGTAAAATACATTGCATGTTGTAAGCAGAAAGCGTGCTTATATCATGTTAAAATTTTGATGCCTATGTCCCAATGTTATTATCCAGTATCCTAGACGTGTAGATATACGAAAAAAAATTCTGTAAAAGAGAGAGAGAGAGTGACTGAAAGATAACAAGGGTATCAAACAAACAAATCACTTAGTACATGAGCCTTACCTAACTTCCTACATTTTCTTCTACCACCCAATCACCTATATATGCTGAATAGCAGCTTAACAGATAAAACATAGACACGTACTCTTACCACTTTTGCAGATAAACTCTACCTGCAGTTAAGTTGTGCTTGTATATATATGAGTTATAGGGATAATTGTATTTGCTTGCTGCAGCAAGTGGAAAATTATCAAGTTTTTCTGCCAGCCACTGCAATAATACATGATCACACCATATTAAAAGAAATGTTTTCACTCTATATAATATATTACCACTATAATATTTTTAAAATGAAATAATTTAACCCCAACTAAAAAACACTGGCCTTTGGCTTTCAAATCTATACATAAAATCATAAATATCAAAGAAACAATTCTATCCAAGTTATTGTCAAGTAATTAATTAAAATTAAGCTGAAAACCTGATAAATCTAATAGCAATTTTGCTAATGCTGTATGTCATTTCCTCCACGCCAACTCCAAAACACTAAAATAACATTGGCACATACTGCTATAATATAATTCCAATCTCTCAAAGGATAAAAAACTTAGCACATCTGTCATAATCTTCATTGATTTTCTTCAAGTTAATTTGGCTGATACCGAGTTGCATTTCCGGCTAACTTTTTACAAAATCCTTTTATATCTTTTCTTATCTCTGAAGTAGCAGCTATGGTGCATTACTACGCTGTTATCCTAATATTCAAAAATTCCTTTCACCTCATTCAATACCATTTAAAGTTGAAAAATATATGGTATAATCCTTATCATTTCTTATGCTAAATCACTAGCATTATCATTTATTCACCATAAGCCTATCCCTCATACTCTTTCCATGCTTTTTGTTAAAACACCTCATTAATAGCCAATGCTTTAATAATTGATGCCATTCTTCTGTATACATTTCAATGATTGACGTCAGATTCAAAACGAATGCTTATATTATGTCTTCTTGGAACATATTGCACCCTATCCTTTTCATAGAAATTCTAATGTATCTGGTACTTATTCCAGGACACGCAAGTGTTTTAAATGGAAAAACAGTTATGCTATTCAATTTAAATGATTTCCTTCCTGTGGCGATAAGCTGAGAAAGAGGTGCAATTCATTATGTTTTTATC